AGCCCAGCCCACAACCCTTTTGGATTGGGTCAGGAGCCGCAGTTGGCACTGTGCGCAGTACCCTGCATTAGGCCTGGTCTCCGGAGGTATGAATTTGGGTACCATGTCCCTTGAGGCCATGATTGTCATGCTGTACCCTCGGCTGGCCCCGCAGGAAGCCCTGGGCTGGGAGAACACTTTGTCGGAGCTGCCTATAGGTTAGAAGGCATTGGCTTTGTACCCCTACAGAATTGTCAATCAATGGGACTTGATCTTGGGCCAAGAGAGAGTTACAGAAAGACACAGCTGTGAGCTGATTCCAGCTGTGGGGGGCAAAGGTTGGGGTTAGGTTAGGAGTTAGAGGTGGGGATGGCGGGTCTCTTGGGTGTCATGCAGCAGCTGCATCCACTCCCTCTACTGCGACCATTTCCCCTGTCCTATAGTCTTCCCCATCTCTGTTGGCAGAAACCTGATTTTGCAGTCCTGCCTGTGACCCTGAGCTCTTCTACATCTGCTTAAACCTTAATATCTTAACAATTTGAGCATTATAAAATATATTGAATACTCTGTCTATTTCATCTTCCTGAGGAAGTTGCTCCTAGAACCTTCTGAGCTGCCCTGTCCTTCCCCATACAGGGAAAAGGGGATCCCTTTAGTAACATCATTTTTGAATAAACAGAGCAAACCAACACCTAAGCACCATATGAGTTATCACTCCATGGTACCATGTGAGTAATCACTCCATGGTACCATGTGAGTTATCACTCCATGGTTTTTAGTGTATTCAGAGCTCTGTGGTTAATGCCACTGTGAAATTTCAGAGCGTTTTTTATCTTCCTTAGGGGTTTGGGGGGAAGCAATGCCCCTGAGTGGTCTTACCACCCTGGCTTGCTTCTGCAGTCCCTTGCTTCTGCTTCTCTCTCTGTAGCTGTCCCTCTTCGACAGGTACATATAAATGGCCATGACATGTGGCCTCTATGACTGGATTCCTTCACTGAGTGTGAGATTTGCACCATGCACCTAAGTCTCAGCAGGCGTCAGTGCTCGATTCTCTCCATGGACAAGCAGCCTTCTTGTATGTGGGTAGATCATGGTTGTTTATGACTCAAGCCAAGGGGATTCCCTAGATATTATGAATAAAACTAACACCAACATGAATGCACAGATTCTGTGGAAACGTATGCCCTAGTTTCTTGTGGGGATAGAGCAAGACGCAGAATCACAGGGTCATATGATAATTCTGTATTTACAGTATTTTTCTATTCCTATCAACATGACACAGGCTTGTTTCTCTACATCCAGTGTTTTTGTTTTCACCCTGCAGTCTTTGTGTCTGTAACCCTGCCCATATGGTCAGCATGAAAGGTCTGGAAATTCTTTGGTCCGGTCCTGCCAGGGAAAGCACAGACAGGACTCAAGACAGTTAGTAAATCTATAGCCAGTTTTTAAGTTGATAATTTTGTATGGCCTGCAAATGATGTTATAAATATCCAAATGATCCTTGGCAGGAAAGAAAAAAGGTTTTCACTCATGAAGAAGTCCATCCGTTTTACGTTGCTTTCAAATAATCTTTTGGTTTCATTTGGTTTTCTTTGTAATTTTCCTACCATATTTTCTACTTATTTCCATCCTAGTTTCCTTTTTTTTTCTGTTGACTTTGGGTTTAGTTTGCTGTTTTTCCAGTATTTTAAAATCGGTGTATTTGAAAGGCAGAGAGAGAGATCTTCTGTCCCCCAATTCGCTCCCACAAATGGCCGACAGAACTCCCTCGGGGGGGTCCCCCAAGTCCTCATGCCATCCCCAGCCTTCAGGGGTGCATGTCAAGCAGGAAGCTGGAACCCCAGGCACTCCACTGAAGGGGCACAGCTGCTTTCATGACCTCTTCAAGCCTGCTGCCAGCGCCTCCGTCTCTTCGAAACAGCACCCCCACCTCTGCCTCAGGACCCCACCTGGTGCATTTCTGGTTCAGGAGAGTTGTGCTTCCAACAATTCTGGGAGAAGACTGCAGGCCTCCCTGTCACCTGCAGAGGGCCACAGGCCTTTCCCCCAACTACCCTGCCTCCCTGGCATTTCTCCCAGTGCCCCTTGCTCAGGTTCTCTCTACCCACAGCCCCCAACATTCTTGCCCTGCTCCCGGAGTCCTTCAAACGCCAACAGCCCAGCCTCTGGCCACCATCTTGCTTCACCCTTCCTCTCGAGAAAACCATGAGAGAAGCTTTTAACAAGAGGTTCCTTCTGTCCCAGCTGGCATTCTGTTTAAGAGGAATGGAGAGAAGAGCTAGGCAAATGTTAAAAGAAGCTTCCAAGCCTGAGACTTGGAAAGCCAGGCTTGGGGTGCAGACCCCTCTCCCCACAACAAGTGAGGCAAGTGTTCTTGGCTGGGGATTCTTCATGGTTCTGTGCAGTGATGTCACCTGCCCTTTGGCGGTGGGGGCGGGGGGAGAAAGGACGGACCAGGCCACTGGGGTGGAAGGCAGATCAGACCAGCAGCTGGCCTTTGGCCTTCAGGGGAGGGATCCCGGAGAAGCCCACTCTGTGGCCTGTTTCCGTGGCAGCCTGGCATCCAACCCTCTCCCATGTTGTTTGTCAGGGTATCCTGTGCTATGGCAGTGACAGTTAAGGAATAAAACTGACAGCCAAACACAGCGTCCCTGAGGCTAGAGGTGTTAGGCAGAGGACAATGAAGTGACACTCAAAGCCTCATTTTAGTCCTGGCAGGCACCACCCACAGATCCCTTTACTACCTGTCTATTGCCTAGAAGTGACGTCAGAGAGCCAGGAAAAGAGGGACCAGGGCCCTGACAGCTGAAATCAGAGAATGTGAGCTGTAGATGGGTGTTCTTGCATGTATCACTTCTTGCCTATTGGAACTCTGAAACCTAGAAGCCAGTTTGCTTTAAGATAAACACCAAAGGGGTCTCTGTTCTGAGGTCTGATAGTTACCCTCTATTGACTTGCTGGGCAGCCAAGATGGGTTCTGACACAGAACCCAGAGCACAGAGGGGGTGATCAGTAGTCCCTGGAGTTGCAGGTTTGTTCCTGTTAGCTGTTTGAAGTGGCTTAGGAACCACATTGCCACGGTAGAGAGACAGGCATATCAGGGAAAGTAGGATGTATTGTACGGTGTAGGAAAAAGATCGGTGTGACATAATCCAGCGACTTAGAGAGAGGCACTGCCCTGGAATATGCAAAAATCAGTTAAAAAAAAGAAAATCAGTGTGTACTTGGCTCATCTTTCTTTTTGAGATAGAGAAGCACATCTTGCTTGAAAATGTTTCTCATTCTTGTTTTGGAAACAGTTGCATTGCAAGGATGTTCATCGTATCAGTAATGAATGTGGTATTTCCTGGTCACCTGCCATGTGCCAGTTCTGCCTGAAGTGATGAAATACAGAGAAAGACAGAAGTAGGGGTATGAACCCAGGAGAGGAGGAGGGAAAGAAAAAGCCCCCAAAGAGGCCGATACTCACGTCAGTCACTTCCTCTGTGCCTTTTTGGGTTCTCACTGAGCAGCTGGCATGTGCTGAGTTCTGTGCAGGCTGCCTGGGATCCACAGGTGAGTGAAACGGCACGTTAGTACAAGGGAGCCTAGCTGTAAACTTGGCAGCAGGAGGCATGCTGCCCGTGATGGCTGTGGTGTTGGGATCAGGACCCAGGAGAGGCGACCTAGGGGAGAAAACAAAGTGGAATCAAGGGCTGGCCAAGTGAGATGAAGACAGATGGAACAGTCCCCCAGGGGTCGCACAGAGAAGTGCTTGTGGGGTTGAGCATGAAAGGTGGAAAGAGAGACCATAAAGATAGGCAAGGCTCTTGAAAGGTATGTTGTCTCTTGCCTAAGACTTAGAAGTTCCACTTAAGGTTGTGGGAAAACTACTTAATGTCGAGTTATTTTTAGGAAACGGTGGTCATTTAAATGAACATATCAGAGGTAGAACTGCATAGATTCTTTTGTTTTTAAAAAGTTTCTTTTTTTTTCTTTAAAGATTTATTTATTTTTATTACAAAGTCAGATATACAGAGAGGAGGAGAGAGAGAGAGAAAGATCTTCCATCCGATGATTCACTTCCCAAGTGAATGCAACAGCCATCTGAAGCCAGGATCGAGGAACCTCTTCCAGGTCTCCCAGAGTCCCAAGGCCTTGGGCCGTCCTCAACTGCTTCCCCGGGCCACAAGCAGGGAGCTGGATGGGAAGTGGAGTTGCCAGGATTAGAAAAGGCGCCCATATGGGATCCCGGCGCGTTCAAGACGAGGACCTTAGCCACTAGGCCACACTGCCGGCACCAGATTCTTTTGTTTTTAAAAATCACAGAATGGGGCCGCTGTTGTGGCTATTGAGGGTGCTGGCATGCCATATGAGCACCAGTTTGGTTCAAGGCTGCTGCACTTCTGAACAGTGAAGTGCTTGGCTTCTGTTATCCAAGAGGGAGATCTGGACGGAGTTCCAGGGTCCTGGCCTCAGCCCAGCCCAGGCATTTGGGGAATAGGCCAGCAGATCTCTCTGTACTGTCTTGCTCTGTGTCTATAACGTTGCCTTTCAAATAAATCAAGCTTACAACAACAACAACAACAAAAAGGTAAGCAGCCTTCTGGATCCCTTCATGAAGCTCTTTTTGTGTCACACCCTTGGTGTGCACCAGCAGGTGCACACAGCACCTCCCAGCACTCTCACACATGGAGACAGCCAGGGACTCCTCAGCAGTTTAGAAAGGTGTTTGATCATGGGATGCCCAGATTGGGGCCAAGCCAGGAAGGCAGAACACAGGCAGGAGGGAGCTGCTAGAGGACTTTAAACAACTGCTCACAGTCCCAGGTTTCTCTCTGAGGTCATGGGAGTGATCCGAGATTGTCCTTTTGCAAGGTGCAAACTGGTAGATGTACGAAACTTCACCGAATCATACACATTGGCCAGAGTGGTTCATGTTGGCTTAATTTGAGTAACATGCCAAGACTAGACACTGGTATACTCTGCCATCAAGGGGTATCACTCTGATCTTCACCGTTGTTTTTTTTTTTTTCCGGCAGTGAAGGGTGACCGCAAGTGTGAACTGAACTGCCAGGCCATGGGCTACCGCTTCTATGTCCGGCAAGCTGAGAAGGTCATTGACGGCACACCCTGTGACCAGAACGGCACAGCCATCTGTGTGTCTGGGCAGTGTAAGGTAGGCGCCCTGGGCTCAACCCAGGTGAACCTTGGGGAATCTGCAACACTGGCTCTGCTATCATTGGTGGAAACTTGAGGTCTGATTGGTAGTACTTGCTTGGCTCTCTACCAGGGAGGAGGGTTCTTCCTCTTCCCAACCCACACTGGGATCCCTAAATCAAGGACTCTGTGAGAGGGACAGGGCATGGCAGTCTTGTCCCCACTGTCCTTTGGGTTGGGCCACATCCTCTCTGGCCCTGCAGTCATTAGGTGGTCTGTGTCAACTTCACAAAGGGATGCAGGAATCTCTCCTGATTGGCCTGGGCGTTCATCCTTTCCTGGGAGGTGAGGACTAATGGAGAGGGCCTTGACATTCGAGTCATCATCTTTGTGGGGTGCAGTGCATCTTAGTCAAAGGCGGTTCACAGTCCGGTGCCTTTTGTAGCCAAGGCTGTGGTTCAAACAGCAGAAGTCTTGTGTGGCTTTAGCCTCCATGGTCTATGCTAGGACCTCCCTAAAGCCCCCGAGGAAGAAGCACCTGGGCAGAAGGTACCATTCGGTGACAAGCAGGCGTCTCGGATGCAGTGGCACAAACACCACAGCCTCATGCGCAGCAGTTGGGACGCCTGCCTATTTGCTGTGTGTCATTCAGTGAAAGTGCCAAGAGTCCACAGCTCTTGAGCTGCGGTGCTTGTTGGCTGTGATTCCTGACTGTGGCTTGGCACCTGGGGGCATGACCACCAACCCTTCCCTTTGTGTAGGAGGAGTTTCCCCTGTAGGACACAAGAGAACTTACCAGAGCTACATGGACATTGTCAGATTTCCAGGGACAGTTAGCAAGGGAGGCAGCCACTGTTTGGCGTCTGAGGAATAAGCGGGAGAGAAGATCCTCAGCAATGTCGAATGTATCACCAGGAGGACCCCTAGGGGATGAGCCACGTTTGGCCTCTAAACCTTTACTCCTGGAGAGATCGCCAGTTTTCATGCATTCTCTTGGACAGATGGCACCATTACATGAGCTCTCCAGCTCCAGTGGTCTCTGCTGTTAACACTTAATGCACCTAAAATGATGACCCTTATGGCCAACCAGCCTGTCCTGTAGGAGTTGAGCCAATGGTCTTATTTCTGCAATGCAGATGTGTCCTGCAAGCAACTGAGACAGGCTGAGGGTCGAAAACCATGCCTCTGAAGCTGGGCTGTCTGGGTTCCAAACCTGTGCATTCTGCTGTGGGACTCTGCAGAGATTACTGACAATCCCTGTGTACCTGCAGAAAGTGGGAGGGTATTACTGGAGACCCAAGCTCCTCTGCACACCCAGACAGGACAGGGTCCTTGGGGAGTATGTGGCGTCCATTGGTGCTGCTTCTGCCTGGGCATGCCCTGCCATGTGAGTTCATTGTGCAAAGATAGCTTTGCATTCGTGCTGGATTTTTGTTCATGTGTGTGCATGTTCATTCAGGATTTGAGAATCCCAGTGTTTTTCCCACGAGTGCTGACTCATGTCTGGGAGGGCCTGACCATCAGCGAATCTGATGTAATACTGATGGTCCCTGCATCAACATTTGAAGTGGCACTGCCATCAAAAGAGCATGACCAAAGGACCTGGAATGCAAATATAGGACAGGAGCCACACAAGAACAATGAGCTATGGGCTCTTTCCCAGGGCAGTGCATTTCCTCGTGTCTCACAGAGCGTCTGAGCTGATGATGTCAAAGGAAAATGGCCATGTTTGAGGACTCGGGTCCCGGTTCCTACAGCTGCCAAACAGCGTCCACACCATGAGGCAATGCAGTTTGTAGGTGACGGCTGCCAAGAGGCTGAGGTTAGCACTTTTCAGGATGCAAGGGCTCGACACAGCTCGGATGTCACCAGGACCAGGGGACCGGGCTTTGTCACATACTTCCTGGGCATCAGAATTTCCATTGCAGTTACTGGATGGTCCGACCCCTCTATCTTCTCTGTAGGATCAGTTGGGTCTCTGCCATGGGTTCTGTTTACTTGGCAGTTTTCTAAGGGTCAAGTGCCAACCTCCCACAAGATGTCAGCTGCTGTCTTTGCCAGCCAGCTTGTGGCAGACAAAGCTGCTGCTCCATGGAATGTGTTTGCCTGTGAACTTGTCTCAGGAGGCCTTTCTCAGCCACACAGAGACAGGGATGCCAGCCTGCAACAGACACTAAAGAATGTGCTAGAAGCCCCCCATACGGAGAGCTAGGGAGGAGCTGGCTCTCCCTACAGCAAGACCAGAAAAGGCCCCCAGCCCATCCATGGCAGGCCTGGCTATTCTGCCCACTCCTAGGAGAGCCTATGTTTGTTCAGTTGTTATAGCTCCTCTGTGCTCCAGACTTGGAAATTGGGAGGGACGAGCAGGGTACAGAGGCTCCAGGAACTGGATCCTTGGGGCTGGGGGCCAGAGAGAGTGGGGTCTGTGTCCTGTCCCCTTGAGCTAGGTGACTCATGGTCTTTATAGGAGCTCAGGATTCGCCCAGAGGGGTCCTCAAACCAAGGATCGCTTGTCCCTGCCTGGGAGGGCATCTGGATCCCACAGCTTCTTTCTTGCTCAGCCCAGCCCCTGCCTCCAACCTCCGGAGGGAGAGTGTGGCCAGTGTTCACAGAGGCCCTGCCCCTCCTTGCCTCCCACATGGGGGCAGATGACATCTGAGCTAGTTGACAACATGGCCCTCCGTACTGTTGTCACACACCGTGCCGTGTTGCCATGATTTGTGTTGTCTGATTTTGAAGAACCTAGGCGGTTTCTGCTTTTGTGATTTCTGCCTTGCTGGGCTTGACTGGGAGCTGTGTGAGCTCCAGGCCTGACGGTCAACGTGACACCTGCAGGTCAGGCAGGCAGAGCCCTGCTCAGGAAGGAGAGTCCTGGCGTGCTTGTCAGATAAGTGGCTCACTGCCCTACAGCCCACCAGTTTGTACTTTTTGAAAGTTGCTTGCTTTGAACCCACCAATAGAAGCCTGCCAATTTGCTCTTTTTGCAAGTCAACAGATAAACTGACCAATCTTAACTGTATGGTTGTGTGGAATTGGCCTGAAATGTATAAAAACCCTGTGCTGTTCAGTCTCACTCTTCTTTTGCCCCTTCTGCTGCAGCTTTGACTGCAGCAGCTGGCAGCCTAGTCTGAAGAAACCACCTTTATGCGTTTGCATTGACTTCTGGCTCCTGATAATTTTCTGGGAATCGCAAAATCTGGGCACAACAGTCTCAGCCTTCAATGCTGCTGTAAAAATTCCCAACATTTCAGTTGGATGATTTCTTTTTATTTCTCATAACTTAACGAAAACAAATGAGGTTTGGCCTTGAATGAAAAAGCAGGCCATTGAACCAACAGGGTCACAGGGACCAAGAAACCAGACACCAGCTTCCCCAGGGACCAAACCTTCAGAAATCTAAGGTTTCCAGCCTTGATGATGATCTTGGTGGAACCAGAATCCCATTCCCCACCCCCCTATCCCACCCCTCTGTGAAAGGAAGAAAGAATATTTGCGTGGAAGAAGGGCTTCTGGAACAAGTGCCTGGAGACCTCCCATTGCCTGCCCAAGGAGGTGATGTTCTGCTGTGGCTTCATGTGTGGCAGGCAGGGTTGTCATTCCCCATGTTGCCCAGTACCGTCGTAAGGATGCTGTCTGCACCTTGAGCACAACGGAGGGTCCTGCACGCATGGTGCTTCTTAGGCGAGCCATCCTTCTGAGCACTGCGCAGCGTGGTGTGGGGAGCCCCTGTGCTCCCACTGTTCCGAGTTTTATTTGTCCAATCTCCTGTTTGTGAGACTTCAGACACAAAACGGGACTGGCCTGTCAGAGTGTTTGTGTGAGGCTCCCAATCCCTGGGAAGTGAAGTGTAGGTCCTTCCCCGTGTCCTTCTGGCCAGGCAGGGCCATCCCCCTGGCCAGCAGGGCCTGCTGGGCTGTGTCACCACCGTGTCCTCCGTGTGTCGGTAGTTCTGATGTGGGGCGTGAATCCAGGCTCTCAGGAGAGGTTGAATTTCAGGGAGTGAACTTGGTCTTGAATGCAGTGTGAGACTCTCTGGTTTGGGGTCACGGCTGGGCAGCTGAGTGCAAACAAACCACTCGAGAAATCCAGTGCCCCCTGGAACCAAGGCCTGCAAGTGCGTGGAGGTAAGGGAAAAAAAGGTTTTTTTTTTGTGAACTTTGCTCTGAGTGCTGTTGTGACTGAAGAAAACCGGAAGAAAAATGGCAGTGAGAAAACTGCAGCCTTGTGACAGGTGGTTGTACAATTCAGCTTGGGAAAAGCTGAAGGGCTTGTCATTTGCTGCCATTCTGAGCTCATGTGGCTCTCCGAGGATCTCCGTGACCACCACCCCTAGCCGATTGTTCTGGAAATGCTTTCCATGGTGACTCTCCAGAGCTCTGCATTCTAGTGGCCAAGTTGCCGAAGCAGCAAGATTGGGTCTGTTTCCTCTTCTGTCTTCCCCCACCTCCCCCCACTGCTGGCATCCTTTGTGGTCACAGGTCGAAATGAACCTACAGATGCCATTATGGACGTGAGTGGCTGGAGAACCAGAGCAGAAGTGATACTTAAGCCCAGACATTCCCAAGTGGCATCTTAATGACTGTGCCAAACCTGCTCCTGTTAATACGGTCTCAGAGAATTGTTCATTAGCCACCTAAGTACCACATAGAGTAATTAATTGGACAGTAGACATAGGTGCTCATTGTCATTCCCAGGACTAAGTGCTGGTGAGAAGTAAAAGCATCGGAAAAACATGACTTTGGTCCTACCCACCTTGAGCTCAAAATCTGGAAGAAAAAATCGTTAAGCAATCAGTTGATAAAGCACAAGGATTATGAATTCTGATGAGTGCTGTTATGTTAACAGGGTTTTACAGTGGTGTGTAGTGACAGCAGGAACGGGGGAGGTGGAGAGAGGAGCAGAAGACCTCTATGAAGGAGTCTGGGGGAGGCATACCCACCTACAGCCCAGCCCCTAGCCTGGGGTGGAGCCCTCCTGGGCACTCGGAGCCGGACCTTGCCATGCTCTGGACTCAGCCCC